AATTAAATCTGGCCACCTCTCTCCCAGACTGGGAGGCTCCTACATCATCGACAGAGAAGACATGGTAGACAGCTCTCCCAGCCACTGCTGTAATGTGGTACACTGTACTCACAGTCATTAGCAGGTGGAGAATTTGAAGTGTGGGTAGATTATAGAGATGCCGCCTTTAAAAATGCATAAGCACTTTGTGAGTTTGCTAAGTCATGTCTCACTCAGCTGGCCTTGAATTTTTCATGGAGGATTCATATTTTGTAGGCTTTCCTCTCCTACTTCTTACCAGTAAGAACCGCTGTACTCAGGGCTCTGTGGAAGCTGGGACACCTCAGTCATGCCATCTGCTTGACTGGTCCTTGATTTTGCCGAGATGTAAAATATTCAAAGATTTGAATGTAGATATTTGGACAGCTGATTTTCCCACTTTCCCTGCATTTAATTTAAAATACAAAGTTCTTCCTATCCTGCATTTAAATAATTCAAGTAAATTTTTATACTAGAGGACTCATCTACTTGTTAACTTTTAAGCACTGCACTGAAAGACTCCTTTCTTCTAGAAATATTCCTGGTCTCATGGTACCTGCTAGATACTTTTTATGCTTATCATTATTCTCCATTCCAATGGCAGGTCAGGCATTACCAGATACTTAGTTAATACTTTTCTACTGTGTCCAGCTCTGCTGCAGGGTCTTTGTTAATGAGGTACTTGAGCCATGAGTAAATATTGAGTATACAGTACATTTGTAGCAGAATCATCATTATATCAGTCAAATTTCTTGTTGAAATGTTTATGCTGATTGAGGTCTGGCTTGCCAATTATATTTGAATGAATGGAGTACGTATTTTGTGCTGTAGACTGAGGCATCCTTTACTTCAATGACTTCATTTAATTTTCCTCAAACATCTATAAACAAAAACTATTAGTTTAATTACTTTTCAGGTGACTCTCAGAGATCTCAAGTAACTGTTCCAAAGACTCACACTTTTCAAATTGTTGTGCCTAATGCTGGAGCCTGAGATCTTTTCTGCCATGTTTTCAACTTGAAACATCTGAAAGTATATTTTTAGCACATTTGTTCATTCATCAAACATTTATCAAAAATCTATTATGTGCCAGATACCAAAATTGTTGCAGAAGCTCTCACATTCAGAAATGGCTTATAAAAAAAGTGGTATTATCAAATTTTAGGTTTAGCAATTAATAAACCTCTGAAAGGCATTGGATTTTCTTCTCTTTTTAATACTATTAAGTTAGACTTTTCTTTGAAAGAAATAATTTTCTCCTTATATATGGCCAATCAGTTGTTATAACTGTTTTCTAGCTAAATGGAAAGACTCCAAGTAGTGTTGAAACCTCCCAAATTAGGAGTGGAAGTATTTAAATCTGTAGCCCCGGGGTATTTGTGACATTGCTGTTTTCCACAGTTGGAAAAGTCCTAGAATACCTTACATTACAAAACTGGCCTTGCTTAGGTCTTTCATGACTTCTTAAGGTTTGGGAGCATGCCTCTGAGAGACTGCAAAGGCAAAACACCCTGAGCTTGCAGCCCCCTTCCACCCTAGTTTCATACTTCTGCTTCAGTTACATTCTTGGGAAGAGGGTAGTTGGACGCAGTGCTTCCAAGAAGGAAATGTTGAACATCTCTGTTCAACATGACTATTTTCAAATTTCATATCGACTCTGGACTATATTAATCCCATCTTCTTCCTTGATTTCAAAAGAATGTAAAAACCCCAAAAGCCATTTTATAAATTACCTTGCCCAAATCATAAATATTCAAATGTTCTTATGCCATATTGAAATGTGCAGTAGTGACAAGCTACACCAAAAGTAAGTTGTTCAATTTCCTTGTAAGAGTGACAGTGCCCAGGATGAGTGGAAGGTAACAGTTCTCTTTGTCTGGAAGCTGGAAAATCCCAGATGACACTTAGATGCGGGATCTTCCCAACATCTTTAGGAGACAAGCTGCAGCAGTGCCAGGCCCCTTGATTGCTAATGCAGTGCAGGGCTGCACGTGAGTGCACAGGGGTCGATCACATATGGGTTTGGGTGCTGCTTAAAGACTCTTAAGAAGATTCAAACTTCCTTTGGAGCCTCGGTGACTGAAGGAACTTCCTTGTGGAAGAGAACTCCCAGGCAGGAACATACATTTCTGTTGACTCAGAGGGCTTATGGCTAAAGTATTTTGTCACCTTGTTTTAAGGTGATAGACAAGTATGTTCCAGATAATATGTATGTATATATATGTACCCTCCTTGCCTCTTTCCTGCATTTCCCTTCCTTATTCTAGTCCTTTCTTTCCTCTTCTTTTCCTCATTGCTAAATCTAATTTCTAAACACTCTCCAGTGGACCAAGTTAGATAAACTTCTGTCTGAAGTGATTACTTTTATTTAGTCTAATTCTTTGGAACTACCCCGCATTGAGTTGTATCAGTAAAGAATGCCGTTGTCAGGCAGCTGAGGCAGATTCTGACTAGAGGTGAGAAATATTCCCCTCAATATCCCCTGGCAGACTGAAAGCGTTTTTTCATTGTAGATATTTCCAAGCACCAGCTGGTACATGTTGAGCAGTTTCTCTGTTGTGCAGAAGATATTTAGTTGTAATAACTGAGAATAGCTATGGCGTTACTGCTATTATGATTCCTTTTGGCTAATTGGATTGTTGCATTTAATTTAATAGCTGTATAAATGCAATGATTACTCAGTCATATGTTAGAAGTGAGTCTATGAGTGTGCAAAAATTAGGTATTCTGGGGCTGTGATTTAGAGAAAAGTATTTTTACTTCTTCTGAAAAAAATATGACTAGTTGTCAAGTATGAGAATCATTTATACATGAGAAATATAGACATTACATAGGAAGTCAAGGGGTGACTTTTTTAAATAGGTTCATTTCTTTGACCATATTAGAAATGGCAATGAACTAGATTTTTTGATAATGATATCTATTTTTTATAAGAATAAGACATAGTAAAATCAAACTGCATTTTTATAAATCTTAGAAAATATTTCATTATCTTTCTATTATATTATCATAAGGATATTAGTCTTCCTTCATATTTTTATGGCATTAGTGAAGTGGGTGAATTGAAATGCCCAGCTATACCAGGCTTTCTCTTTTGTCCACCAGCCAGCTCCCAAATCATAACACGGAGACTTCTTATTTGTTATGAATGCTCAGCCTAGCTTAGGCTCATTTCTGGTTAGCTCTTTTAACTTATCGTGTTTTTCTTTATCCACCTTTTTTCCTCTGGGATCTTCACTTTTCTTTCCTTCTGTATATCTGGCTTTCACTGCTTCTCCTGACTGCTAGCTAGGGGCTGTGTGGCTTCTTGGCCTGGGCGTGTCTCTCTCTTTCTCTCTCATTCTTTTCTCCCTCTTTCTCTCCTCTCTTTTTCTCCTCTTATTTATTCTCTCTGCCTGCCAGCCCCCACCTGTTCCTCTCTCTCCCTAGCTATTGGCCATTCAGCTCTTTATTAGACCAATCAGGTGCCTTAGGCAGACATGGTGAAATGAATGCAACACATTTTTTACATGATTAAACACTCATCTTTACATCATTAAACAAATGCAGCGTAAATAAATGTCACACACCTTTACACAGTTAAAGTAATAATATTCAGCAGCATAAATAAAGTGTTAACACATCTTTGCCTAGTTAAAATAATATTGCACAACACCCAACCTGTAATGTATGATCAGTACATAGAATGATTCTACAAGGTTTGGGGCTATTCAGAGATTGGAAGGCTAGAGGCCAAAATTTATGTCTGAAAAAGTTCTTTTGTGCCATGATTGTGAATTTTTCAAAGTTCATTAAGCCACCAACTGTATACCTGAAAAATTTCTCTGCCTCCAAACTGCTGAACTAATTTTCAAGAGTCAACACTTAAGGGATGAGGACAGAAGCTCTCACATTGGCTGAAATTAAAAAGGGAATTTTTTGGATCACATAATTGACAAGCCCACTGACAAGACTAGCTTCAGGTATGGCTAGATCCAGCTCTTAAAAGTTATTATTAGGATGCTCTGTATTATTAAGTTTCTTTGCTATACCTTGGGTGTTTCATTAGACTTGCAACAATAAACACATCACCGTGTCTACATTAGGAAGATGGTGGTCTAATAGCTGCTGGGACACACATAAGGCAGTACTGTGCAATAGTCAAGGTGCTTAAAAAGTACAGCCATACCTGTGGGGAGGTAGACATTTTTAGGAGAGATGCACAGGGACTTCAGAGAAATTCACACTTGAACAGTATTTTGAGAAGCAAGAATTTTACAGACAGGAAACAGTTTTAGGAAGCAGTTAATTGACTTGGTTATAACACTTGGGACATCTGTATTCAAATCTCAGCTCTTCCACTAACTATTCAAACCATGGCATATCTGTTAAGTTCTCTGGGTCTTGGTGTTTCCATGTGTGCAAATGCCAAAGGGAGCTGTTGTGCTCATAGGATGATGGAGAGCCAATGGGATGCTGGGGCTGGCCAGAGCCCTCTTCACTAACCACTACCATTTCCCCTTAGATAGCCTCTTCCTGAATCCTGACTGTTACAGGTGGGGCTTTACCTGAGGGTTTAATATTACCCATGGTAAAATTGGCAAGCACTTTCTTAGATTACTGTCTGCCACCCATTCCATTCCACTTGTCTCCTCTAAATCATCTCTAAGACTCCAGGTAGTAAGAAAATTCTTATCTTGGTGTTAGTGCTACTGAAGTCCTAAAAATTTGGGTCTGTCAAGTGCCAGGGCTGATAAACACCTGGGTATTTCTGACTGGGGCTCTTGAGTTCAGTGCCGGTGTGCTTAAGCAGGACACCATATTCTGCTAGATGCACGGTCTTCTATTAGTGATGGACGTCCCCCCCCCCCCCCCCCCCCCCGATGACTTAGCTTCTGGATGTTGCTGTGGTGAATCACCCGTATTCTTTGAGTTCTAACGTGTACCTCTGCATCACCCTGAGTTGCTGGCACTCATTTTCGGGGTCTGTGTTTGCCTTTCAGGTGAGCCTTCCAGGTGGTCCTCCCCTCACTGCGATTGCTGCTGCAAGAACGGCAAAGGGGACAAAGGGGAGAGCGGCACCTCCTGCAACGACCTCTCCACTTCCAGCTGCGACAGCCAGTCAGAGGCCAGCTCTCCCCAGGAGACGGTGATCTGTGGTCCTGTAACGCGCCAGAGCAACATCCAGACTCTGGACAGGCCCATTAAGAAGGGCCCCGTGCAGCTGATCCAACAGTCGGAGATGAGGCGGAAAAGTGACCTGCTCAGGACTCTGACGTCGGGCTCCAGGGAGTCGAACATAAGCAGCAAAAAGAAAGCTGCGAAGGAAAAGCTCTCCATTGAAGAAGAGCTGGAGAAGTGCATCCAGGATTTCCTGAAGATAAAAATTCCAGATCGCTTCCCCGAGAGAAAACATCCTTGGCAGTCTGAACTTTTACGGAAGTACCATCTATAGGGGAGGGCTGGGGATAGTCACCATTTTGAAATAAACCTCCCCAAAGGAAGACATATGTTAAAGGAAAATGACAACTAATGATCCACATTTGTTAGAACACAATAGTCCATTGATGTACTACTGCCTACTTTAACTAGCTCACCGTAACGTGTAAATCCACAGGGTAGATTTCTTTTCAGATGTGGAACCAGAAGCGCGCTCCTGTGTTGTCCTTTGTCTTTTATTAACTTGGTCCCATGTGCTGAGAGTCTTACACACAATGAAAGCTGGCTACATGTGAGTAGCTCACGGGCTTTGGGAGTCATCTATCCCAAACCGTTTTATTCTTTTTTTTCCCTCTCATTTTCTGCCTCCTTCCTTTGGTCAAGGATGGGGAAAGAGATATGATCCAGTGGCATATATCAAGATTTTTAATTTTTTCTTTCCTTTTGTTTACGGGGTGAGGGGGGGAGAATGGCAGATGTGTATGATTTTTCACTTAGATCTCTATGTGCCAGTTTCTAATGACTCTGTATGCATGAGCACTTGTGCAACACAAGCACAATATATGTCTGTATATATGCACAACAGATGCACATGACCCAGGGGCTGGACAGCAAAGGACTGACACCCTGCTGCCGGCTGCCCCCACAAGAGCACGTCAGACAAAGGAACCTCTGCCTCTTTATTCAAACCCTCCTGGGCAGATTTTCCAGCCTCCCTTGGCAACACTTTCTAATGCTGAGTAGGCTCCCATCATCAAGGAATTCTCTTTCTTATTTTGAAGTGAATACCCCCTCCCCAGGCTCCTTTGCACTGCTGTGCTCTTTCCCTACATTAGGAGACAGGGAGATGAGCTAGTGGAACACTGTTGGTGTTTTAAGAAACTAGCAAATATTCTCATCCATAAACACAGCTTTGAGATGCCCTGCACTCAGCCTTCTCCATTCTTATTTGATGATCACCATTCTCTACCTGAATCAGAGTTCTAATTTGCCCACATTTTTCCTGATGAGGCCTTTTGTATAATTCAGGCAAGTCCTTTGCATCCTTATGAGTTGTGAAGCTGTGAACAACACACAATAATTGAAGATGCATCCAGCCTTCAGTTTGCTTGCTTTAGAGGATTTGTACCCCCACATGCTTCCTAATTTCTCATACGAACTTTAAACTACACCTGTACATTGTTGCTTGCTTATAGCCAGGCTTGGTTGCCTTTGGGATCCTGGGGTTTGGCTGTGGCCATACTATGGTTTAGTTGTACCATTTCTAAAATGTCTGTAATGACCCAAGTGGGTGGGGCTGGAACACAAAAGTTATGAATTTGACTTTTTAAGCTTTTTAAAAAAATATATTCCTGACCTGTATAGATACAGTCCAAAAGAAATTGTTAACAATGTCTATCCACATGACTCTTGTCTTCTATTAATCTCTCAATAGTTCTTTTGTTCACTTGTGCTAAATGAACGTCCAAAGACAACTTTTAATTTTCAGCATTCCTCACACATCTCAGTGGTAACTGAAAAAATGATTTGTCACTATATTGTGCCAAACATTCCTAATTTTTTGGTGTGTGTGTGTGTGTGTGTGTGTGTGTGTGTGTGTGTGTACATGTGTGCACACATATGTGTAATTAGCACAGGTAATAAAGACAACCAGACAATGTCTATGGGAGGAAAATCTGATGACCAGTTTCTTCTTTCTGAAAACCTTCATTTAGGTACATTTATTATTTAAGAATCTCCTCGTTGATTTATTGGTACCCGTTAAGTTAGTCTTTCTGAATTTTTTGTAATTCTTTACTACACAGGTGGATAATAGGATAAGGCAATACTTTCTTGTCCTGATGCTTCAGAGAGTTTAAAATTTTATTTAAATGAAAAAGGAAAGTTTGCTTGGGTGCTGAGTTGCCAGGAAAATTATCATTTATAAAAGTATTCTTTTTTGTATTAATATTTTAGCAGATAGTTGATGGATAGCTTTGTGTAAAGCCTACTAATGCATCTTCATTCTGTGTTTCTTGATGGTACATCAAAGACACCATCATAGTAACTATAGAAGATACTGAGAAGCATCATGGATCTTAATGGATCAGAAGACAGAGGATGTAAATTACTGACCAGATGATCATTGACTCACTGAAATGGCTTTCAGAGAATCTGAGATTTGAATAAATTGGCCAAAGTCCCAAGTTTCCTTAAATTTCAGCCCTAATCATAATTGTATCAAGACAGTGAGCTACTCAAGAAGTGGGCTGGTCATCAACCCATAGTTACTACTTCTGTTTTCAAATAGGAAATAAAATGTTATACCCAAAGTATTATAACAATGTTCTGCAGGCTCTGTTGTTAAGTAATTTCTTTTTTCTTCCCAGATACTCTGTACCCACAGCAAACAACCTTAGTAGTAGAAATCTGTTGAAAAACAACAACATATCACTTTCATTTTGGGCTACCTGTAAAATGGCATCTGCTCTGTGGTCAAATGTTTAAACAGAAAAGACCAAAAGCATGGCATTCACTTGTGAGGGTGTTGACATGTTCAGCAATAGAGCCCGGGTTAGTAGAAGGCTTTGAGGAGGCACCAAGAACATAAAGTCTTAGGTTCCCTTTGGCATGGAGTTATCTAGCGTGCTCCTTGTAGTCTTCAACACACTGGGAATAATCTTCGGATAAGTGAACCATGAGATTAAGCATTCTGGTATCCCTGGCTTCTGAGCCCTAAGTTCAGTTATGGACAGAATAATATTATATACAGTCCAGTTCTTGAATGTGGATTTTGACAGGAGCTGCACATTGTTGCTATCAAGAAATGAATAGTATTGGATGGTCAAATGAATGAGACTTGACATGTGTATAGACTGAATTTGGGCTGCCTTCTCTGAAATCTTGTAAGGCTAAATTCTACGAACTTGGGGAGGTCATTAAATAGATACGTAGTCTCCTGAAGTCAGGGACATATTTATAAAGTCCTCCTATCCACTATTAAGAAGGGAACACTATGCAAACAACAGAGGGAAAAGGAAAACACGTGTTAACATAATTTATAGTTACCTCTTCCACTGCTCAGAAAAAAAATGCACTGATGTAGTCATGAGTGACCCTGTGAAGTGGCTTCCAAAATACACTGTGATGTATTCCTGTGCACATCAGCATAGCTGTCCTATTGGACATGCATGCATGCTGCGTTTTTAAAAGGGAGGAAGAGTGTAATGACAAATGTGCCTATCACTTGGCCTTGCTTGATTCAGAAGCATCCTTTCTCACAGATGGCAGGTGTCTGTTCATTATTTATTCTCTTAGCCACCCCTGCTTATGATTCTGGATTATGTTTGCTTCTCCAGACTCTCCAGTCCTCTGAGTATCTTTTTTTTTTTAATAAGCAGAACACGCTCCAAGGAAGGAAAAAAATGGCAGATACAATATTTAAAAAAAAATTACTCCAGTACAGTTCCTACAATGAAAGTCAAAATTTGATTCTCAAACTTTTCTTTGCTATCACTTCAATTTTCCAATTTGGTGTATAGTAGAGTAGACCAACCCAGAAGAGCTGAGAGTTGGCATTCTCTACCATTGGATACATTGTCATGGAATTTGAGTAATGGTGGCCTTATGTTTGATCTTTGCTAGAATTAATAAGATATTTTCTGTGAACTTATAGGATGAATTTTTTGTCATTTCTACTTGACATAACAATTTTCTAAGGAAAAATGAAGGGAATTATTTTCCCCCTGGTGACTCTGTGGCAGATAAATGTTTTTGCCAATTTGCATGCTGAGTTATAGGTTTTAGCATGGGCCATTTCTCTCTTTAATGTCTTGGTATTGTTGGCATCTTGCAATCTTGATGGCCTACTGTTCCAATTTATTTATTTTCTCTTATAGTGTCAAAAGAACACACGAGAGAAAGAATCAGAGTGAGCAGTGTGTATTTGGACCTACAATGGAGTTAGATGTCATTGGTAAGGGACTATACAATGATAGATATCTGCAAAGAAATTAGAGGAAATGAAACATGCTGGAATGAGTTTGATTTATATTGCCTTCATCACTTTGGTTCTAGATGAAATGGTTATTACTCCCCATCCCTGTGGAAAGAAGAGTCTTCAGCTCTAATAACTACAGCCTTGTGATGCAGCCACAGTATTTGCTTTGAAATGTCTGCTCTTCTCATTTTGCTATGGACACTGGAAAGGGGATTTTCCCCCAGTGATCATTGCTGCAAACACTTTTGTAGTTTGGTATTCATCACACATTAAATCCACTTATGGCACTTTCTGAAAAGGAGATCCCCTTATGTAGACTTCAGAGTCAGATTCGTAAAACTTGAAGCAGGGCCAGGGAATCTGCATTTTGAACTAGTATCTTTAATAATTTTGATAGTCCAAGGACAACACCTCAAGAAATGCTATTGAGTAACTAAGGAGAAGTCAACATATAATTCAAAGCAAGTGCCTTTCACTGTCTATGAAAGGTCCATAAAATCATGCTTCGGGACTAGGCCACAGTATGTCTCCAAAATCCCTTTATCACTTCATCTGCCATTCAACCAAAGTCTTCTTCCCATAAGGTCTATGTTTGTGCCTTTTCCTGGAGTCGGAAAGCCTATATCATTACAGCTTTATCTTTTGGCAGATGGGCCTCTGCTCCTCAATCAGAAAGCCTGCATCATTATAGCTTTATCCCAGGTGGATGGGGTTATCTCTGAGAGAAGCGTATTTTAATAATACCCAACAGGGAATGAAAGTAATGATGCTTTTTGTGCCAGCTGTTCATTTTATTACTCAGTTTGGGTCAAAGGAGCCAGAAAGTAATCCATAATTTAATGACTATGCTGCACCAAAGATGGTTCCATTGATGAAATACACAGATAACACCAATGCAATGTAGAATAATCAATGGATTCAGCTGTTTAATCAATACAATCCTGAACCATTGAATTACTTGCTTTGTCCAGTTTAACGTAAACAGGATATGAGGCTCATGGATGATGGAGATTTTTGAATCATAATGTTAACCAAAAATGTAAATGAAAAGCCTATGTATAAGAATAAGCATACGAGAAAGGACAGAAGGAATTAAAAATGGTGACAACCCAACTGTAAGGACACAAAGGAAGTGAAGTGCTGTAATTTTCCCTAGTGATTCTACCAGAAGAGACTGCCACACCATAATCTCTCTCTCTCTCTCTCTCTCTCTCTCTCTCTCTCTCTCTCTCTCTCTCTCTCCCCCCCTCCGTTGTCTGTCTGTCTGTCTGTCTGTCTGTGTCTGTCTGTCTTTCTCTCATACACACATACACCACAGAGGTTGGAAGGTTATAATGACTCACCCACTTGACCCTAGCACATAACAGAAGAATAACTGGATAAATGACAAATGCCCTTATGGAACAGGAAGTAGGATAATTAACTTGTCGTGAGCATTAAAGAACATTTAAATAAATACAAAAGGAAGTGAGAAACAGCTAATGAAATAGATGACCTTGAGCAGCTAACTTAGATTATTTGGTCAATATAAACACACACACACACACACACACACACACACACACACACACACACACACATACACATAGAGACACACACACACAAATAGTTCAATTTGTTTCAGTCTGTTGCTTTCCCTGCTCTGCACCCAAATGGGAAGATGCTTTTATTGGCCCAACTTCCTAACCTTTTTAAAAAACAAATTCCTCTTGTTTGTGAACAAATTGCATTGTTAATTGGGTAATGAATTTTAAGCCCTAGAATGTCAGCCATCCTTTATTTAGGGAAACTATTTTTAAAAAGATAAAGAACAAAATGTTCCCTAACCCAGCAATTATCACATGGTTTGTCCTGGAGGAGGGTAGGGGTAATTTTCCTGTTAATCAGCCTTGTAAAAGCACTTAGAGGCCAACTAAGGATTTAGTGAGTCTGAGCTTCTGTGATCTGCTCTGTCTTGTTTAGGTTATTCTTAGAAGGAACCTTTAGCTATTACCTGAATTTACACAATAAAAACTAGCAAAAGTTTAGGTTCTCTCTCTTTTTTTTCTTCCTGATATTGGGTCTATCTGTCACTGATGGAAGCAGAACCAGAGAACTGATGCATTGCCAAGTAGTGAAGAGTTACTGTAAAGTTGCATCTGTGTGTCCATGGTATGGGTGTACACACAGGTGTATGCCTTGCTTTTACATTCCTGTTCGGCCAGTGGTTATTGATCATGTGAGTACATAAGAAAAAAATTTAATGTATTTTTAAATTCTGAACAATAGGTTATCATTTAAAATATCGACTAATTAATATTGGTCCCCTGATATTATTAAAACATTACACATGTCTAGGGTGTGGGGTGATCAAACTCCCTGTCATGATGTGTAAAGTCAAGAATGAAATCTTACATAAAAATAAACAAACAAATAGGAAAGAAAAAGAAGGTAGTGTGAGGAATTGAACCCAGGGTCTAGGGTAGGGGGGCAAGAGCTCTAGCACTTGGTTACAACTGAAGCCCAGAAGAATGCATTTGGAGGAAGTTAAACTAGAATTCATGTCAGTCATTAACTGTTTTTCTCCATTGTGACCAGGGGTCAGTAGTTTATCTTTTTGTGTGGAGACAAACAATTTTAGAAATTCTATTGGTTTGATTAGGCTGTGTGCATTTAAGGCAGTTCCTGCCAACTAGGCATGATTTTGTGGCCCAGCAGTCTTTGGCAATCCCTGCAGACATTTTTGACTGTCATGACTGACGGGTGCTGCTGAAATCCAGTGAGTAGAGATGAGAGACAGACAAGACTCCTCCAGTGCTCAAGGAAGACCCTCACAGCAAAGAATTGTCCTTTAAAAAAAAATCCTAATACTGCCTAAGATGAGAAACTTAACTAAGGAATGCTTTACATTTCTTTTTCTTTCTTTTATTTTTCCCCAACATAATACCTCTATGGATTATTTAGGATTTCTATACAGTGCACCCTGATCACATTCACCTCCCATTCCTCCCAGGTCCACCCTCTCACCCTTGCACCCCCCTCCCACCCACACACACACAAAGAAAGAAATACACTAAGTCCTACTTATGTTGCCCACTCATTGGAGCATGATCAAACTCCCAGTGGCCAGCCCCTAAAGACAAATGAATCCTTTCCCTCCCCCTGCTAGAAGCCATGACTTCCTTTCTGCACCGTGTCTAGAAAAAAACCTCCTGGTCAAGGCACAAGCTAGGACAGAACAACAATCACCAACTTAAGTGTATGTGGGTTTTTATGACGTCTGATGCAACCGTCACTTTATATAGATGTGAGAGCTGAGGTTTAGAAGAAGGAATACACCATCTTTTTTTTCAGGGTCATGAAAGGGAAGTGGCAGCCTGTGGCTTAGGCAGCCAGGTGATGTCTAGATGAGTCTTTTTGCCTTCCTCACCCAATTATACTTTGTTGATGTTGCCAGTCAGGTGAAAGCACTTTGGAGTCTTTGGGGTTTTGCATGACTCCGCTGGAATGCTTTCTGAGACTTTAGTAGACTACAAGGTCTCAGACACAAAATTAGGAAGAGAGAGAAAGTTCTTATAGTGGACCAAAGATTCCATCATTTTAACTGTTCATTGTATACTTTATTTATTTGGGTTGAATATCCACTCATTAACGACGGCACTTAGATCTTGAAAATATGTTTCCTTGTTTCATAGACTTGCACAGGTCTGGTTCTCATTCCATGTTGTCATAGACATGACAAGCCTCAGAAGCCCTGGATGCTGAGCCTCATCTAGTAGGCACATGCCAACTCTCTGAGGAAACTTTTGTGGCCTTAAAAAATTTGGTATCTATTTTAAATTAATCAGACCAGCATTAGAGTGATAGAATAAAAATTACCATATCCCCATTTCACAAAAGGGAAACTAAAGACTGGAGAGTTTAAATCAATCAATCATATATTTGTTTGTGTATGTACCCATCAAATATTGGTGGAATGCATGCCGTGTAAACATCACTGCAACAAACAATATGAACTACTCAGAAATCCAATTTTGGATAAAGAACTTGAATTCATGTCACCCAAACATATTACTTCTGTATGTTTTCTATATTTATCCTATGTGTGTATATTAGATCAACATATTAGAATTATCAGTTAAAAACCAAGTTTTAAGGAATGTCTATCAACAATTTGTCATTTCATGCCAGAAACTCTACTTGGTATTTAACATACCACATTTCACTAAATCTTATACTAATCTAACAATGTACCCTCCCACACCCCCCTGGCCTCTGTCACTGCTGCTTGCCTTACAGATAAACTCAATACCACTCAGAGAGAGAATGTGGCATACAGGCCCATAAAAACAGTGGCAGAAACACGTTTTCACCTGGGCTTATTATTGTATTCCAATGGCTATGAACTTAACCACCCCATCAAATAACCGCTTTCCTTTTTATTATGAACTTTTGTCTATTTCTCTTTTTCTTTTACTGTTTAAGTGAAGGGTAGCCAATATGATATCTGCCTAGCCCCGTTTCTAAAATAAATGGGTTATTTAAAACCAAAACTACTATCAGACATGAATTTCCAGAGGAGATAAAGAAAAGGCAGATTTGGAAGGCAGGTCTCTGTTCTCTCTGCCATGGACTTTACTTTGCACTCCAAACCCTTTGGGGGGCAGTCATAGTGCACAACTTATGACACCTGTCCAGCCCTAAGGAATGCTCACCCTAGGCTGGTTTCCGTACTAGGAGGGCTGTACCTGAGACTGCTTGCCATGCTGTGTACAGGGTACCAGGACAAAACGCAAAAGACATACACCAGGTGGGTGGCTGTGCACATGTGTTATACAGACATGTATCTATGTACCCTTCTGCTTTCTCATTTTGATTTTTTTGCAAATATTAGTGGTTATTTTTTATTCAAGTCAGATCAAAAATACAAATGAATTGGCTTCCCACAGTATCTCATGATTACTCTTCTGAACTGGGGTGGGGAATAAAGCAAAAATTGGCAGTGAAATACACGAGTGTGTGTAAGGGGTATGGGTATCTGGTGTTTTGTGTGTTGGTGTATAAATTGCATGTATATATGTATATATGTGTGTACATCTATCTAGATGTATATATATATACAAATAGCTATATATCTATACATATGTATACACATAAACACATAACTTGAAACTTTGAAATTTTGAGTTTAGGAAACTAATTATTACAGTTTATATTGGTTTCCTAGATAATCTATTGTAGTTCTGGTTTCCAGGATTCTCTTCTACTATGAATGTATATATTTATTAATGATACAGAGAATATGATACAAATACCTAGATTTAACTTCTATGGATAAAACTGTATTTAAAGAAATGCCAAACCACGGGTTGGAATTTCAAACTATATGTTTCAAAATGTTCACAACAAAAACAAAACAAAGCAGAAGGAAAGAAACAAAATGCCACCAAACGAAAGTGGTGATTTTTAAGAAGAAAAGAAAAAGAAAAGGACAGCAGAAACCCACTGGCTGTTGCCCAGGGCTCTCTCACTCACCTGTTGATGAAATTGCTCTCTCGTAGTCCATGGGGTCTATGCGGCCTGCGTGATCATGAGTGACACTGGTTATCGGTCTAACTATGTTGAAGTTACAACAATCAGTTTAAAATATACGTATTGTAAATAGGCGCCAGCTCTCCAGGGCTCATCGAGCACCCCAAACCCTCTCTAGCCTCCTGCCAATCACCTTCTCAGCCTGTTCACACAAGTATCAAAACGTTGTTCAGAAAAGGAGGATCAGAGTCAGATGAAAGAAAGCACGTCTTACTTGTTTGGATATCCTACAGACAGAAGAGCCAAATGTCTAAATTTGGGGCAAAAAGGTACACTATGCTCTCAGTCAGAGTCAAATGCTCTGGAGGTTGTGGGAGAATGTGAGAAGTGTTTGAAGTGAACCTATGCAGTCTTCCCTGGGGCTTCTTGGGATCAGTTTGTAAGCACATAAGCCTGATCCTTCAAAGAAAGTCTGTTTCCCAAGCCAGGGTTCAGCTGATAGAGCAAGATTCCTCCTTCCTGGGGACCTATGCGGAGGGCCCACAGAACCAAACACCAAGGTATCCCAGTGGACAAATTATCTCCATAAGCCCTCTATATGTGTGGTCTTGAAGGCTTGAGGAAGAAAAACCTTTTCTTCCTGCTTTTTAATGAAATGTTCTAATGAAGTTTGAGAACTCTTGCAGTAATTTTCTTTGTTCCCAACATTTTGGAATGGATGGGAAGTTTTACATCATCCTGTCTTTGAGTTCCCTTGCAATTTTTTCCCCATTTATTTATTTTTATTTTTTATTTTAAAGGAAACTGAATCAGGAGAATTTTCTTAACACGTCCTGCCTAATTAAGAGAATGGCATGGCAATGTAGTTTTGGAAAGCACGCAGGGTGGGAAAGTGGGGGTACCAACATTGCTCGTTACTGTCTCTTGGTATAGGAAACTAGATTCATGATTTATTGAAATGGTATCCTATCTAAAACATTTGGAGAAACTAACTTACGAGAGCTTCACTTCAGAAGTTCCCCTGAAATTTGTGAATGGGATCAGCTTCCAGTGACACTCTTCAGGCTGACAATAGCATTCAGCTAAGTCTGTGATGAGTGACTGTGATGGTGGAAGGAAGCTAAAAAAAGTTAAGCTCCCATTCTCCACATCTTTCACAACCAAGCAGAGCACGAGCTAGAACCCAATAAACAGAACAGTTTCTTTAAATTCAATGTACGTATTTAAATACTATCCGTATCACCTTTGACCCTTCTCAACTTTGGGGCTGTGCTGAATAGGCTACCTGAGATCTCCAGATACATACAGCAGGGATTGTCACATTTCTCTTTGCATCTGTCTCTGATGCTTTGAATGAGATGTTACACCACATGGAGGCATCTGGATTTTGCTGGAGCTAACACTGAATGGTGATTGACAGGGGCCTTGCTCATGTTCCTTTTTTGCTAACCTCATTCCAGCACTTGATGATGGGTCAGATTGTTGCACATTGATACACAGCAAGGGACATCCATTGAAATTACCTCTTTGCTTCTCCAAGGCAGTTTGCTTGTACATAAGTGTAACGTCAACTTGTTTACAGGTTCTTTTGTGTATAATTGTGATAGCGGATTTAGCTCAAGCCCTAAGAGAATCTGTTTACTGAATGGTGTTAAAATGAATGTGCTTATTACAGTATAAACATCATTAATTATGGACTCACATGAATGCATGTCTATATGTCATCAATTTCCATCAGCTCAGATATTCAACAAGAGTCTGCAGTCTGTGAATAGCAAAAGTACATAAGCTGCTGTGACTGATAACTTAGTAACTGTTTTACCTTGCTTTGTAGCACTGTAGATCTTAGCCTGCTGTATTTCTTTCTTGTATATTTGATTTGTGAGAGAAACATGGTTAAAAAAAGAATACTACCAATGTCCCAGTAGAACTGCACAGCAATCATTGGTCAACTCAAAAGGCAAATACCTACAGATGGAGCAATAGCCTGAGCAACACATGGGTGTATTCATACATATGTCTATGTATGCAAAGTCTGCAGTGCTAATGACTACCATCCATCCTCACTGCCAATGGGAACAAACTATCTTCTTTGGAATCACTGATGGATATGGAAAAAATCATTTTCTATTAACTGCTTTCATACTTTGTTTTGTTCTTATAGTATGGTAGATGATACCGGTGCAGTATCAGTATTGTAAAATTGTGTGGCAAAAACTGCAAAAGTAATTCTGTGGATATATTTTAAATGGCAGAACAGAAACTATATTTCAGATTCTTGTGTGAATATAATTACAAAACTAGGTAACTATTTTTATGTGTTTCCATAATGACTCCATTTCATATACATTGTAATTTAGCACCAATCATAATAAATCATTTGGTAACATTTAGTTGTTATATATATACATATATTTCAAGTACATGTAAGAGGTCAATGATTCAACATTATTTCATGCTAACTCAACATTTTACATGAAAGAGAAATATTGTTAGAGTTAGTTTATTTCTAGTTTGGTATGGAAGGTGGTCAAAGAGGGGTATAGGAAGGAGGAGATTTGATAAATTGGTTATTTGATATAGAGATTTAATATATTTAATATTAAATTGCTATCAGGACAATGAGTGGAAGCCCTGCCTCTGTCTCTTATTGATTATATGATCTTGCAATAATTATTATTATTTATGAAATATCATCAGACCCTGGTTTCTTCATCTGTAAATGTAAAGATCATAAGATTCTTGTGATAATTAAATCAGATAATCCAAAGAGATAATTTATCAAGGTGTCTGACTCATCAAATAGATACAATAATAATTCATACAGCCTCATTCCTACCACTCTGAAAATGCCAATTTTAAAGTGAGGTTTGGCTTCAGCACTCTAAATGTCTGAATATTTTTATTTATCTTCTGTTAGTAATTTATGAAATTGCCTATAAATATTCATTATGATTTTCAATCAAAGGGGGAAATTACAGAAGAAAAGTATTTCCTCAGTTACAAATTTTAAAAATAACTTGGTTTTTTGCTATGGTGCAATGTGTCCAGCAGAACGCTTTCCCCTATAACACACACTCAAAAATGGAAAGGATTGGACGGTGCACAGTTTGAGAAATATACTATCTTTCATGCATCCCACTTTGTAATTTCAAAGTCTTCTTCATAATATTTAATGTGACCTCTATGGATTTTTCAGTAAAGAATCTTTTCAAACTTGCTTGCCCAGAGTCTCCTACACTTTGCTCATGAAAGCTGTTTGCAGTTTTGAGGCACACACTTTGGAATAACCGACTCATCCCTGGTCAAGTATAAGAGAGAGAAACCCGAGACTCCAAGAGGGAGCAGCTGTTTCAGGTGGGTTTGGAACCTCCTCTGTGGCCTCAGGCCAGGACTTTTTTTTACACAGCTCTTATGTAAATGACTGGCAACAGCTATAGGTTTATTCTGACTCCATAGCACCTCTTCTCACATGGACCTAGTGTGTAGTCACATGAGGCCCTGAAATCCAAGTGGCAGAAAAGAAGGACTCCAAGGCATAGGCATCCAAAGATGCAGTCACCCAGACTACATGGGGTCGAGTGCAGGCTCTGGTTTGTTTCCATAGGCTGATTTTTTCAGTTGTCTCCATTAAGACAGAAACTGTCTACCACACTGAACTCAGAAGACCAGGGGAATAAAAGCTTACACAGACAAAAGCAATAGGGATGTTTGAGAGGAACTTTCCCTATGCATTAGTAGGTGGAATGCTATGGGGCTTCTCCTGAAAAACCCTGTGCTGAGAAGGTGAAAACTGAATGAAATCCAAAGCCCCAGAGATTGATTTAAAGTAATTATATTTCATTAGACTCGGGCACAGGAAAGGCTCTCAGCTCTGCATACTGCTCCAGTAGGACAGATGAAGAGAAATTAACATCAAGAGGAAAAGTTGGGTGCACACTTTCTGACTACAGCATCGCAAGTTGAACAGCTGCAAGCATTTCACTGCCCTTGTTCTGTTTATTACAGAATCTAGTTTCCACAAATACAGGCTTCAAGGACCCTGAGCTGGGGTGGTAAGAACACTTCACCACACTGGGAGGTGGGGAGTGGGGCAGGTGGCAGGTGGCAGGTAGGTGGTGTGCATCAGGGGAAAAAAAAATCTCATTAGTGATTTTTGGAGGCTTTTAGGTGGAGTGTTTCTTCATGTCAGTGCTGTAGCTATAAGCCAGTATCTGCACATAGCCCCTGTCCAGAAACTCATCCCTCTGCCAAATTGAGTTCAACAGGACTTGATCAGAAGGATCATAACTATGGAATGGGGGCAGAGAAATAGCCCAAATCACCACCTTCACAGAGAATACTTCTCCTCCCCTCTAATTTTAGTTCAAAGGCACTGTTTCGTTCCGTGTCTATATAACACGCAGAGCTCCCATCAATCCCAGCTCCAATGGCAGCTGCCAGTGAAAGAGGTCACGGTGGGTGTTTATCCCAACAGGAGGCTAGCAAAAGTTCCTCTCCAGACAAGACAGCTTCAGCCTTAAATAAGCCATCCTCATCTTGTAAGTCCACAAAATTATAGTACGTCAGCAGAGGCCAAGTAGTGTGTGCTGTTGAAATGTTCAGAATGCCAGAGAGCTCCCCTGGAGCCATTGTGGGTCCTTAGCAGCCATGTGAGAAAAGAACTCAAGCCAAAGTCTGGTGTGAAACTCGGCCTTCCCCCTTGATTTTCTCTTTCCCCAGGACCACCTTGAAGTGTCTTTTCTTTAGCTGGTATGAAATGCTGCTACTCTGTAACCAGGTCTGAGCGCACATGTGTTAGTGAGCTCTTACCTGCTGCACATCTATGATGGATAATATGAATCAATTAAATTTGGTGTCTCTAAGACCTAAAGCCACACAGCTGCATGTTCTTCATGACACAAATAAAGCTTTGTCTTTCTTACTCTTTCAGACCCTCCCTCCCCCTTCATTCGTTCTTCCTTCCTTCCATTCTTTCTTTTCATTTTTGTTGTAAATTGGTTTCAGAAAGAGTAAGCTGTGTAGCATGGGGTGGCCTTGAACTCAAGGTTCTTTTGCCTCAGTTCCCCAAATTCTGGGATTACAGGTGTGCACCACCATGTCAGGCCAAACTAAGCTTTTCTTCTCTTCATTCTCCTGGAATCTCCACTTCCATCTGTGGATTTCTGCTCCCCTCCTCTCAGTCCATTTGATTTTCCTACACATGGAGATAGTTGATAGATAGATTGATAGATAGATAGATAGATAGATAGATAGATAGATAGATAGATAGACAGATAGATGATAGATAGCGACAGAAACACACACAAACACAAACACACAGAGAGGATGGGGAGAGAGAACCATGGATAGAACACTATATTACAGTGTTACATTTTCTACCACTGCTGCACACAGGTTCTCTTGGTTTCCATGTCTGCTCTGCTGTGAGGACTTGGAGGGCTATACCTGTGTATGATTTTGGACTTTTGCCAGCCTTCTTCTCTACAAGTCTTCACCTAAGATATTCCTGGTCTCCTGTTTGGAGGCAGAGCAGAAGCTTTGGAGATTCCCACAGAGTCACCATCTCAGACTGCCTCCATCTGAGGTCCCCCTGACATGAAAGGAAGGACAGAGAGGAAGTGAATCGGGTGATGGTAGTACTTATACATATTCTGAGTGTGTTTTTCCAAAGCCAATATAAATGGAGAAGCTGCCCTGATTCTTCATGCTCTTCGGTCTGTTTCCTGCCAGTGTCCACACTTGTGTAGCTTGGCCAAGGAATTTTCCATACTACCCCGAGATCTTCTTGGGTAATCTCTTCCATCTTCTGTTTCACAAACTCACATGGAGTTTCTGTCTTATCTTTAATGTGAACAGAAGGTAACATATTGGCAAGGCAGGGAAGATATGAAACTTAGCTGGAAATTCGAAGGGGCAAAACCAGCCCCAAGGTTGTGATCTATCCATTTGCCTGGAGGAAGAGTGGCCCTTGGTAGCTAAAAATAATAGACTTGAGTAAGTTTTTTAAATAAGGTAAATGCCCTGTTCTCTCTACACCTGGCATTAGCAAATATGACAGCGTTTGAAGGGGAAAAGAGATACATTAATAATAACCAGATCTGCATATAGGGGCTGTACATTTGTTTATTAGAGCAAATGAATGTTGTAGCAATTACTTGGACTTATCCTTCAAAGAGCTGGCTACCAGTGGGTTCCTTTGTAAGGTCCAGGCTTATGCTAACAGCAGGATAATTTCCACAATGTTTTCTTGCACTTTAAAATTTTTGATGAGAAGTTTTCTTCATCTAATGTTTCTAAAAGCTGAAGCAAAAGTTTGAGACTTGAAAATAACCACATTCTGTGTCCTATCACATAACTTATCACAGGCCTGGCTAGCTATTATATGTCCTGCAAATTGGCAGGACAAATTGGCCTCTACAGTGCTTTGAGGAAATGGTGGAGTTATAGCATATTAAGAGTTAGCAAAATTAAATATAAACTGTTTTTTGGTGTACTTTTTCATTAATAAACATGTGTTAACCAAGACATGACATATGAGAAGTGTTTTCTTTGAAAGGAGAAAATTAATTTTCATTCATGACATATTGATAATAGACACATTGATAATAGTCATCTTAGCCCCAAGATATGAAAATGAACAAACACAAAGAGACCCCAAATCCACATGATCTATCTTAATTGACAGAATCCTGGAAGTGTTTGGTCAGCATAAGGGCAGAGTGGGAGGAGTAGCAACAGGTGCAAAGCTCTCATAATGCAGAAATACTAAAACAGAGAAAATGGCAAAATGATAAAAAGGCAAATAACTATATTCCTTTGGTATACGACTTCAGAGATTTTCTGGACCCACGTTCATTGACATCACATCATAAACTTTCCTTCTTTTTGGGTTGTTTCCTCTCTCCAAACCTAGTGTTGTTTCTGCTATAAATAGTATCATTGTGAACTTCTCAGAGAAGCCTCCAAAGAGGCAGAAAATGGGCAAGAGGGCTGAGATAGAGCAGCTTCTGGCTTTGTATCTCAGGACAAATCTTGTGAATTAATTACATAGAGTTATAAGCTCTCAGGACCAACCCTTCCTGCCCCAACCAAATCCTGTTGAATCTGAATCTGAATAGATAGATCCCAGGGGTACCCCATGCATTAAACTTGAGGAACATTCTTCTGTAACTGTGATGAAGTGAACAGTGATAACCTCAAAGTCAAAGAGAGGTTGGGGAGGAAGGGGTGCATGGGAAGCTGGTTGTTCTACAACAACGACCACAACAAAGACAAATATAAACAAAAAAATAGTTGGGCTGGAGAGATGGTACAGTGGTTAGGAGTACTTCCTGTTCTTGTAGAGGAAAGGAGTTCAGCTCCCAGCACCCACACCAGGCGGCTCACATCTGCCTATAAATCCAGGCCCAAGGGATCTGGTGTGCCCTTCTGGCCTCCACTCACACTTACATTCACTTGCACATACCCCTCTGCAGCCATGAATGTATACAAAATTTAAAATAAAATGACTATTTAAAAATAAAATAAATCTTTTTAAAAGTCCTTAATACATTAGAAAATTCATTGGCATTAGATACATTGCTTTTCTCAATATAAAAATTTAGCAGTGAAATATAAGCAAAATAAGGCAATAAAATAACAATCAGATATCTCCATAGTTGATATTTCATCCTATATTTTTCATTTTCTCTATGCTTTTATTCATGTAGGTAAAATGTTTGTTTTCATCACATAAATTAGCTACAATATACATGAATCAATGTCAAATATTATGAACTATGAATACGCTCATACACACTTGTGTAATGTATATTGGTTATACATTAATAGTAATAGATATGATTTTGTAATTTTAATTTTCTGATTACAACATACCTTTACCTTTCTACAAGTAAATAAAAGAAAGACTACTTTCATCAGTAGTATGAGTTTTTAAGATGCCAGCAGTGAAGAGACCGAGTATACTAAACTTTAGTAATGAGAGTGGGAATGCTCATACATACATTGTTGCTAGGAGGACAAAGAATTCCAGCTACTGTGAAAACCTGTTTAGCACTATCTAGAAAACCCACTAAAGGTTTCATTGTGGAAACACAAATACCACACTTGATCCTTCCCTTTGTGTGATGTTCCAAATACCAAGACGCTCGAAATGAGGACAGCAGGTACCGTTGCAGAAGAACAAGTGTGGTGGGGGAGGGGCACAGGACGAGGGCT